AATCTTGTAGCATATTTTTTTTTGGATACAACCAATTAAGTGATTGAAAACTGAAATATAAAAAATCCTAGGATAGTGATGTCATTACTTTTGGTATACCCTAAGTAATATGCAAACAAATTAAAATGATTGTATGACTTATATTAAAATATTCTGTTCCATCAAATTCATTGTATTATTTTTATGAATGTCCTCAGAACATTTTTTGTAATGATTTTTCAAACTTTTTTAACTAGCCGATATAAATGTAATTATTTTCATAGATTTGGCATAATTTTCAGTTGCCATGCGCTTTGCTGAACGTCGATACTTGAAATAAAATACTTATTGGATGTATTCGTACAACAATTTCCCTCAATCGATACCGTTCGATGCCATACACAGGTGGCCCATAGTCTCACGCATGTATTAGGAACCATTGCGAATTTTGGACCACTTCAGAACTACTCAACGTTTTCATTTGAAAGTATGTTGGGTAATAAATATATTTCCATTTTACAAAATCTTTCGTCTGTACTACTATTTTAGGTCTACTTACTTGTCTGTCTATAGGTAATTGGATGAATTTGAAAGTTTATCTATTCTACACCAGCTTCATTGTAAAACATCTTAGCCATTTTATAAAGCTCTCTTCGTTGGCAAGGTCAGATTTACAGTGTCAGATGGGAAAATGCTTGACGATGGATGTGTTGCTTTTGAAGATGCTCAAGTACTTTAGAAGCGGTTTTTATTTGTGCAATACAACATAGTAATTGTTCAAACATGGAGACAGTATTCTACGTGGAAAACTTCATCATTCAGAAATGTTTTACAGTAACCATTTTCGTCGCCAATCAGTCCTCACCCGTCAAAGTCATCTGTTCTGATTTTGTTTTCATTCAATTATCTGTTCAGATCGTACCAATTAGTTCTATTAATTTGATTGAGAAGCTGTCATACATACAACTGAGTACGAAAGATTTTATTATTATACGTTATCCTAATTTGCTAGAAAGCTCCCAGTAAATTCATTGATGATTATTTCTTCTCTAATCATAAGTTAGTTGTCATATACATATATATTAAATCAAGATTATTATATTCTTCAAACATCTTGGTTCTCTCCTTGAAGTGTTCAATAAAAATTCAGACTAAAAGTCATGTGATGTACAAATTATAAAAACTATGTCATAAAGTTGCACTTAACCCCGCAACAAAAAAAAGTGCAGTAAGTCTAATTTAAGAGTAACAAGACTAACGCAGTGATTTTAATTTTTCAAGAATAGACAATTTAACGGAATGAAAATGATGCAAAAGTAATGAAAGTACTGTTATTATTGTAGTTTTGCAAAAAAAGTCAAGATTACCTGATAAAAATGATGAAAAAGAAATAAAACTAATGGAGTGATTTCAGTTTTTTTTTAAGTAGACAAATTAATGCAGTGGAAATGATGTAAAAGTAATGGCTAATGCAATGATTTTAATGTTTCAAGCATAGAGAATTTAATGGAATAAAAATGACGAAAAAATAATGAAAGTGCTGTTATTATAATAGTTTTGTAAAAAATCAAAATCGCATGATGAAAACGATGCAAAGAAATAAAACTAATGCAATGAATTCAATTTTTTAAGAATAAACAATTTAATGAAGTGGAAATAATGCAAAAGTAATGAAACTAATGCAGTGATTTTAATGTTTCCAGAATAGAGAATTTAATGGAATAAAAATGATGCAATAATAATGAAACTACTGTAATGATTATAGTTTTGTAAAAAACTAAAGATCATCTAATAAAAATAATGCAGAAAAACTAAAACTTGTACAATGATTTCAATTTTTCTGAAATAGACAATTTAATAGAATGAAAACGATGCAAAAGTAATGAAAGTACTGTTATTATTATAGTTTTTCAGAAAATTTAAGATTATCTGATGAAAATCATATAAAAAAATGAAATCAATGAAGTAATTTTAATTTTTCTAGAATAAACAATTTAAGGCAACGAAAATGATACAAAAATAATGAAACTACCGGGATGAGTTTGATTTTTGCGAAATAATTAAAGTAGCGGGATTTTTTTGATGAAAAGTTTGTAAATAATCATTTAAATGAAATTTTTTTCGTTTTTTTCTTCCCTGGATACTTTTCTTGGGTCGTTTTCTTTTCTTAAAAAGAAAGGGCTTTCATTGTTTTGGAACAAATTCTTTGCCGTTTTATATGATGAATATTTTTCATTGGGATCGAATGTTAAAAATGAGTTTAGACTTTCTAAATAATTTCAGTAGTATTCGACAAGATCAATAGAAGCAGACCATGAGAATAACTCTCAACTATTCACTTTTTATTTAAATAAGTCTTAAAATGTAAATGAATCATACTATCGTTCATCATTTTATAGTGTAAAAAATCATAATAATAGGTGAAGCACAATAAATTATAATCTTTGTATTTTTAACATTTCTTCTCTATTTCTCAATCGAGTTAAACACTTTTTTATCAAAAGCTAGCGTTTGAAATTCTCTACAAAACTATATATGATCAGGACTAAAAACTATTTTAGATATATTTAAAAAAAGATGAAAAATAAAGATATACAAACATGTGTAAAAAATAAATATGAAAATGGTGATTAGAGGTGTAACACGTACTTTTTGAATGGATTTTTTAAATAGTATTGACTTGTTGTTTTTTTTGTTCGACCGATCACAGAACCAACAGACTAGAACAAAAAAAGCAAGCTAATACTATTAAAAACATTCGTCTAAAAAGTAGGTGTCACACCTCTAATCACCATTTTCATATTTATTTTTTACACATGTTTGTATATCTTTATTTTTCATCTTTTTTCAAATATATCTAAAACAGTTTTTGGTTCCAATCATATATAGTTTTGTAGAGAATTTCAAGCGCTATCTTTTGATAAAAAAAGTATTTAAATCGAGTGAGGAATAGAGAAGAAATGTTAAAAATACAAATGGTATAATTTATTTTGTGCCACTCATTACGAATTATTTCCATTTACAAAGTGTATAGGGTATAGATTAAATTGTGCTTCAAACATAGACAACGACAGTATACATGTAGAAAAGTTAACAATGTGTGAAAACATGATGATTAATTTTTATTAAGTTCACTTTGAATGAATAGAGTTTTTATTTGCTCTATGTGAAGCAATTATTAATGGATGTGTACAAGTATTTAGTTTGAATGTTCATTGATAATTTACTAAAGAAAAGAAGCATATGCTATGAATTGTCATATCATTATAATCTTATTGAAAAGCAAGATGTGGATGTGGGTGTTGATTTCCCTTTCCATCGACCTAGACACTCACCCACACCATAATTCCAATCATCGTCATTGAAATTCATCAATTCTATGGATCTTTTTACATTATTTATCCCATCAAATAATAATTCATCATTATCATCATTAATCTCTGCAATATATTGATTATCAATGGTGAAAACAACATTATTACCATGTCAACATATATTTTGTCTTAAATCTATACAAAATAATCAACAAATACGTGTTGGACCATTACTAAGTCAATTAAAGAATTATTTATTATGAAATGATAAGGCAAATAAATTAATAAGATGTAAAAAATGTTCCCGTATACTATCATATAAATTCTTTAACTGATTTAGAAAAAAGTCAATCAATGGAATTATTAATAAATACACTTTTATATTTCAACATATCATCAATTACATCTATCAAATGACCTCGATACATGTCTTCATTGTTATGGGATACTTTCTCAAAAGTGCTATGATGTTCATTTTCAAAATCATCAAAATGATTTCGAATCAGCTACAAAATCTTTATCAAATTGTATCAACCGGTCAAACAGTTATAATTAGTTATGCAATCAAAATCAATTGAAAAAATAAACTTCAGATAGTCAAATATTTACACCAAAGTCATTTGTTACTGAAAAAAAAGGTTTGTAAAAGAAAAAAACAATAATAAAAATTTATCTTTTTTTTTAGCCAGTTATCAACTCAAGTAAACAAATTGTAGAAATTAAAACTAATGAAGTTGAAAATATAGATCCATCTCAAATTAATAATACAAAGAAAATAATCAAATAATCCTTATGGTAAAATGTTTAATCTATCTCGACATCGTCAACGTACTACTCAATCTTTTATTTAACAAAAATATCTTCGGTTAAACTTCTTCATTGAACAAATATTATTATTCATATAAATATTGAACAAACACCAAAAACAGAAACTACACAAACGATAACATCTGTTACACTTGTTCATCGATTTAACAATCTTTTAGAACAATATACATCTGTTGCTCAACATATAAAACAATATAAACAACGACTATTGGAATTAGATTGACTTGTAGAAAACTTATTGAAGTATTTATATTGAAAATAGATGAAAAGACTAATCGAATATCGCTATATTGAATACATCTAAAACAATTATCATTAGATCAATTTCAATTATTTGATTATGTATTCAAAAACTTGTTGTTCACCATTAGATTTTCAAAAACAATTTGAATCATATTTTGAACAAAATGATGAAATTCAAACAGCACTTCAAGCTCTATCAACGATAAATCAGTTAGTCGATCGTGCATATATTTGAACAAAGTGACACCTCGTTTTTTTGAAATAGTGCTATCTGTGATTGAGATTCCATTCAAAATAAAGAGTATTATCTCGGGACACGTCAAATTTACTTAGGTCAATCCAAAAATTCTGTCGGAGATGGAAGTGTGGATGTGAGTTTGGATGGGTGTGGGTGGGGTGGTTGTGGATGGGAGGGTAGGTAGTCGTTGGCGTAGATGTGAACGAAAGGCGTATGCTACCTATCCGCACCCGCACCCCATACCCGTGCCTAACCATTGCCGGCTTCGTCCACTGTACGAACCAGCAGAACACAGAAGGTATTCCTGGTTACGCGTGAGTGAAATTTTGCAGCTGTTACACTTCAGCGAACCAGGTATTCAAGAAGGCCAATTTATTTTCTCGTTTAGAAAAAAACAATTAAAGCTTCTTTTTTATATTTTCAATGTTTTTTTCCACAAGTACAATATGTGGATGATTTGAAGGAAATGATTTTTGCCAGATTTCTTGAGCCTTTTCGTAGTATGAAAGTGCTTTAGAGTACTCGCCCATATTATTATATGCCGAACCGATGTTGTTGTAGGACGCAGCCAAGTCGGGATGATTCGAAGGGAGAGCTATTTTCTGTATTCCAAGTGATTGTTCGTATGATGAAAGTGCTTTCGAGTACTCGCCCATGTTATTATACACCAAACCGATGTTGTCGTAGGATTTTGCTAAATCGGGATCATTTGGAGGGAGAATTGTCTTTCGCATTTCAAGTCCTTTGTTGAGAAATGTAAGTGCTTTTGAGTGTTCGGCCATGTAGAAATATACTCGACCAAGTTGGTTATTGTATTCTGAGGTCTGTTTACCAGTACATGGCTTTTCCAGAAGAATCTTGTAGAGGTGTTCTGCTTTTGCATACTCTCCCATTTTTATTAGTATTTCGCCAAGTTGAGACCATCCTGGTGTTGTATTCGAGCTAACCTCTTCGCGTATGTCTGATATAAGTTTGTCTAATTCATGTTTATTGTCACTCACAAAGGTGAGATTTACTTGCCATATAGTCATTCCATTCTCTTGTATTTCTTTGATTTGCTGGACGCGAAAAACTGTGTGCGTTGAAAATAGAATTTCGTTTTCTTTTTGGAAGTAACTAATTTTATCAATGTGGGCGAATGAAGCCGATGAAATCGATCGATCAATAGTTATCTCGAAAAGAACACCAATTTTGGTCTTGTTATTGGACTCGAGCCCATCTTTAATGAATCGAATGGCCACCTGTCGGTTCATACTTGTCAATAAGAAATTATTGAATGACAGAAATCCATCTTGTTTAGTTTTGCTGTCAAAGTCTTGCTTGGACATTGTTTTACCCCGATACACTGTAATGGTTTCTGTTGCATGATCAGACATTTCATTCGTTTGCTGTGAATGGACTTTCTCGATATTTCTATGAAGATCACGAATGAAGATCCCCATTTTCAGCAAGGTGTCAACTTGTAGAGTAGCTAGTGCTCTGTTGAGCATTTTGTATGTGAAACATTCACGTGTGTACCACCAAATGGGCTTGTCATTTTTTTCAAAATCGCGTGGGTAGACTTCAGCGAACTCGTTAATAATTGCTAGTTCATCAACATTGTTGGCATACTTCTTTCGAGCGTAGTTGGCTAAATCGTTGATTTCTTTCTTTTCAAAGAAATCAATATCAAGAATTATTTCTTTGAAAACTTGTGTATATATAAATGACGGTTCAATTCGATTCAACGACGATATTCCAGCAATTACAACTGAATCTTCGTCACATTGTCGAGCCGATTGTCGAGCCGAGTCACAAATTGCAGTAATTTCAGTATAAATGCCTTT